ACACTCTTGACGCTGTGGTGTCCAGTGAGGATAATCAGAAGGGTCCTGGGGGCAATGCTGGCTCACAGTTTTCTCACGCTGCTGATTGAAGGGTTTTATGCCATGATTCAACAGCTTTCCAGGCACATCTTCAGTAGAATAATATCTGGGCGTTTCATGAAGTTTAACCACCTGGGTACCACCATTCTTGTCACCACCAACTGGTTTTGTAACAGTTGCAAGAACTTTCTCCTTTGTTTTCTTTTCAACCTTGGATTTAGTGGCTGAGTACTTCCTCTTGTACATGGCCTTTCTGGAATATATAGCAGATCGAGAATACCTGCCAATTCCTCTGACAGGGACAGGATTGTGGCTGCAGTGGGGCTTCCCCTTCTTGGGCATTTTAGCCTTGAGGTTACCCTTTTCCACCTTGCCACCAGCATCAGCTTCAGGTTTCTTCTCTTTAGTATTGGCTTCTCAACTTTTTCACCTGCCATCTTGCAAGATGGGAAAGAACCCTAATCATATTTTATATCATTTGATGCCTGATAATTTTCCTAGTGTTCAAGGTTCATTTAATAATCATTTCATTAAAAAACCCAACATTTATAGTATGCAAAGTAGTTTTAAATAAAAGATTGTCAGATTTTGAAGGAAAAGAACCACTGAAATACAGCCCTAAATGTCATTCACAGCTGCTGAAAGTAAATTATATAATCTTCTGGGGAGTAATTTGGTATTATGAATGAAAATTATATGACGTATATTTTTTCAATACTGCAATTCCCATTCTAGAAATTTACCATAAAGAAATAATGTTGTATGCACAGATATGTATACCAAGAATATTTAACACAGTCTGGTTTATATTACCGAAGAAATAGAGCCAAATGAAATGTTCAGCAACCAAGAGTCTTGGTAGCATAAATGAGCAGTCCTCAAAAGTGACGATGCAGATCTATGTATTTTTAGAACATATTGCTAAGTGGAAAGTAGTTCCAAAACAAAATGTATAGTATAAAACATTTTTCTAACTTAAAAAATGGTTTGTTCACCTATAGTAAAAAGCTGGCAGGTGGTGAATTAGTTTTCAGTTGTGGTCAGGTTTCAATGGTGGAATTATGGGTGATTTTTTACTCATCTGTATCTTCTGTTGTTTTCCCATAAGGAAAATAAATTCCTTATCTACTCTAGGTATTATTCCTGTAAGGAGTTAGGAAATAATTTCACCAATATTTTTTAGACAATAGAGTCTTATGATTATGTAAAACATGCCACATTAAAAAAATTTTATTTAACAGACATTTTTATAGTACTTACTATGTTCCAGACATTGTTTCTCTCTGATTTTTCCTTCCCATTCTCCCTTTCGTTCTTCCTGTCTCTTTTTCCTTCTCTTACTTAATTTCTTCCTCTCCCTTTCCTCCTTTATATAATTTTTATTGTGGTAAAATGTAGCATTTTTGGTGTATAGGTCTATGAATTTTGTTAAATACATATAATAGTATAGCATATTGACTGCAGTCAATACACAGAACAGTTTCATCCCTCCACCCTCCCAATTCCTTTAAATTCCTTTGTAGTAAACACTGATTATCCTAGCCCTGGGCAACCACCGATCTCTTTTCTCTTCTTGTTTTACTTAAGTGTTATATAATTGCAATTATGCAGTATGTAACCTTCAGAGTCTAGCTTATTTTATTTAGCATAATGCACTTGAAACTTATTCATGTTAAGTATATCAAGAGCTTGTTCCTTTTTGTTGCTGACTAGTATTCAATTACATGGATATAGTACAGTTTGTTTATCCATTCATCAGCTGAAGGACATTTGGGTTATGTTCAATGTTTTGTAATAATGCATAAAGTAGGTTGAATATTTGCATATAGTTCTTAGGTGAACATTGTTTTCATTTCCCTTGAGTAAATACCTAGGAGTGAAATTGCTGGATCGTATTGTTAGTATGTCTTTAACTTTATAAGAAACTGCCACAGTGTTTTCCAAAGGGGCTGTACCATTTTGCATTCTTGCCAGTAATGTATGAGAGTTCCAGTTGCTCTGTCTCCTTGACAACATTTGGCATTGTCAGAGATTTTTTTAATGTAGCAGCTTCATTTAAATATTTATAAATATTAATTCATTTAACTCTGTGAGATGAATAGTATTACTATCTCAATTTTATGAATGAAAAAATTGATATGGACATCAGATTCTTGTCTCAAATTCACACAGTCTGTAAGTGGTAGAGCTGAATTGATACCCAAACAACCTAAGGTCAGAATATACATTCTTAATATACTATACTATACTTCTCTTTCTGTCAATACGGGAAAGAAAGGCTTGCTATAATTCCAGTGCAAACTTGAAAGTTCATCATTTCTACTCTTGGAAAGTTGGCTAAAATTTATTGAGTCTCAAATTAATTTGCCAAACATGTGCAGTGTGGCTCCATCTAGAACTATTCCTCTCAGCTAGTTGAAGGATGTCAGTAGGCCGGCTCCTGAGAGATCTTTCAGAATGCTGTAACTTGTTGGGTTCCCTGTGGTTCAGAGTCTTGCTCTCAGCCCTGCAAACCTAGAAATGTAATCCTTTTGTTATCCAAGAAATGACTGAACTCCAGTCATGCTGGAGGACATAAGAGATAAAGTTCACAAGACAATGATATGTTAAACAAAATGGAAATTTATTAATTTACCATGAGAAATATAATGACCAAAGGGAACAAATATTCATTTATATTTGACAGCACATCTTCCTGTAGAAAAACTTCATGGGAGCCAAATTATAATTAGAAGGTTTCTAGGTATGCCTAGAAACATAACTGGGAGAGTTCTCTGATTTTAATAGCCTGAAGCCTTTAAACTTTCAATCATAAAACTAACTCCTGGAAGTTTGTGCCTGAAATATCCTCATTTGTTCATTTCCACAGTATGATTTAGTCTGCCCAGGGGTCACAGAGAATTATGAAGTGTCTTCCTTTCTGCTGCTGTAGCTCTGATCAACCCAACTTCTCACTGATGTCTTTGTTCCTTAGACATGGATCTTCTAATTACAATCAATTCATATTCATCTTCAGTAACCCAATATTTGTTGATCATCTATCATGTGCCAAGACTGTTCTATGAGTATGGGGTAGAGCTCATTTCAGGAATCATTCTGTCTTTCTAAAATTTTGAAGTATCTCTTCTTGTCTTTTTTTGGATCCATTTTATGTTGAGATTGTCTGTCTGTCTGTCTATCTATCTATCTATCTATCTATCTATCTATCTATCTATCTATGTATCTATCACCTCTAAAGAGAAACTCATTAATGAGGTCTTGATGGTGACCTCACTGTGGTTCCCATGTACTGACTTAGAACATGTATTTTTGAATTTGTGTGATTATTATTCATTTTTGTCTTTCTCCACAAACCCTCATTTCAACTCTAACCAATGTGTGAATATTTTAAAAGTCTAGATCCTTTGTACAACACATTTGCTCTCCTAAGCTGAATCCATGAATTTCAATTGGCTAAATGTCACTGTCTGGACATTTTTCTAGCTTCTCAAACTCAATGACTCACATCAAACCTGCCATTTTCTTCTAACAAACCAGCTTTTATTTTTTTTAAAAATCTGCATTTAAAATTGTGTTTTAAATGAATACAATCAGCATCGTCCAGCCATTCCATATTTTAGTTCTGCTCCCATTTTTCCTGCACCCAGTGTCATGTCAATGAGTTGACAAATTGGATGAAAAGCATTTTGTAAACCAAACTCTTTCTTTCATTTATCTGCTTATTTTCGATATGTCCAACCAACTAGTGACATATATCATTAGACACTGACATTGGTGTGTGTTGTACTGCAAGTTTCTTGAGCAGTGGATCATTCTTTTTTCTTGCCGTTGTCTCAGGGAACTTCTCTGGGCTCCTTCTGTTTGAAATTTTGGGTCCCAACCACATTTTGCCTCAACACCACTTGCAATGGACTGAATCAAAGTGTCTGTGTTAAAGTGCAACCCTTAAGATGATGGTATTAGGAGGTGGGGCCTTTGGGGGGTGATTGGTGCCCCATAAAAGAGGCCCTAGAAAGATCCCTTGCCTCTTCTACCATGTGAGGGAACTGCCAAAAGATGGACATCTATGAATAGGAAGCAGGTCCTCACCAGACACTGAATCTGTTGGTGATTTGATCTTGAACTTCCCAGTCTCTAGACTTGTGGGAAATAAATTTCTGTTGTTTATAAACCACCCAGTCTGTGACATTTTGTTATAGCGCCCTGAACAGTCTAAGACAGACAGCCTAGAGCTTTGGTTTTGTGTGCCATTTCTTTCTTTGGTTGACTATTTCCTTTAGACCTTTTTCTGAGCTGCCATGTATCTATACTCCTCTTCCTGTTGCCCCAAGTTAGCCGTATTTCATTCCTACCCTTCCTACCACTCTCCTTTTCTATGTTTCTCTTCTTTTTTCATCATGAATCCAGCCGCATTTGACCTCCTTTTCCCTTGCTTTCCTCATTTACCATTCCCTTCCATCCTGTCTTATTCCTTCTATTCTCTGCCTGCCTTGGGTGGAGACTGAAACAATGCCATCACTCCCTTGGCCAAAATGAAACCAGCCCATAGAAGACAGTTTTTGAGACAAATAAAAATGGATCCTCCTGGTCTTAAAGCTTGAAATTTACATTTGTCTTATCTGAATTCCTTCTTAGGAAACTGACTCTCAGGCCTCCCAGATGTTATTAAGGAAGTGAAACTCATCTTCCTTACCTCTCCCTAATTCCTGTTTTACCAACTGACTGCCTGCTTTCTGTTGACCAACTCCTCTTTCTTACCCTCCTAATTCCTGTTTTCTCACACATACTACATTCCTTCTCTGCTATGTAAACCCCAAATTTTAGTTGGTTTGAGAGATGCTTTTCAGACTGATCTCCCATCTCTGCAGCTGAAGCACTTAAATAAAGCCTTATTCTTTGGCAATACTTGTCTCTGTGATTGGGTTTCTGTGCAGTGAGTAATGGGACCTAGACCAAATGGCTGGTGTTTTCATATCAAAAACATTCAATATCTCTCAATGCAAGAAAACATTTCTCATTCACATTTACGAACACTTCAACCATATTAGCCAAGTTTGTACTTTCAGGCTTAATATTTATTATTTTCCTACAAAGAGCCTTGTTCCATTTAACATAGGGGTCCTTGTTTTTTCCTAGTATTCCCTAACATGTCTGCATCCCTTTTCCCAATCTTCAATTCATATTGATTGCTAAACTTATAAAGTTATTTTATTTCTCCTAATAGATGGAAGTCCTACTCCTTATGCAAATTCATGTTTTCTTTAAGTCTTTTCTAGTACCATTGATCAGAAAAGTATCCTTTGCAGCCTTCAAATTAGGAAAGAACTTTGTTTTTAGGTCAATTTTACTGTACTTAAAAGTTATTTGTATACATTTGTCCTACTCTGCCAGATTATACATTTAATGAAGGTTGAAGAATATTAGCTTTCAAATACTCATCCACGGACTAGTGGGTACTTTACCATTCGAGGAGCTTAATGACATAAATCTACCGTGTGAAAGAATGAGAAGATGAGTCACCGCAGTCTTAAACATGATTTAATTTGTTCTCCATTCATGTCATCATCTACTATGTAATTTTCTTCTTTAACCAGAGACATGTAGATTTCAGGCAAAGCTTGTACTTCGTTCTCTTCTGCCCCTTAAAACCTTCATTGTGCACCACAGACCTAGGTTGCCCATCTTTCCTTGAATTTCTGCTTTTCTGGATCTAGTTACAAGTGTGCAGGCTGCAGCCCGCCACTGTCCACTGGCTATGTGGGAATTTCCTGATATAATAGTCTGACCTGAAATGTCACCAAGGCAGGTTTGGGCTGGCTTCCAGCCCACTGCAAACAGCGGGTATAAACAGCAGTGTTCTGCTCAACACTTCACCAGTTAAGCTGTCATTAAAAGGGAAACACCTGCTACCCAGAGAGTCTTTATATTTTCACTTTACCGCAGGGGTCTTCTCTGGACTTGTCAACTGATTGCTTTGGGGCTAAGCTGGAAAAAAATACATTATCTCTCCATGTAACTATCAAGTAAGAAGTGTCCTCTGTGTGATTAGACCCATCCACAAAACAGGCCCATGGAGAGTCTGGAAGCACATACTATACCTTAGAAAAGCAGAAATACACTATGTCTGCTGTTATATGGAAGATGAGAACAGGAACATACAAAATCATTGTGCAGTTAGAATCCTGCAGTCAGTTGGAGTCCCTGTTCCACAGCAGCTTCCTCTGTAATTCCAAAATTATTTGTTACAGAATAAAAGCAACATAAGGTGCTCGATCTGCAATCTTTTGAATTAGTATAGTTTGGGAGGTAGGAGGTACAAAGGTTCAAGTCCTAATTCTACATATCATTGCTTTACTTTGGGCAAAATTTTTAACTTTCCCAAGACTGCTTTATCAGTATAATGTGGTGATGAGGCCAAGTAATCTTAGAATTTACTTATTTAGTTCCAGTAGTCTAAGATTCTGTGACTAGTTGACGCTTCTTGACTCTGTACTTAAGCAACTTAAAGTGCGAATTGGTAGCATTTTATAAGGCAGAGCATTTTCTCAAGATTTACAGTGAAATTTCTGTGGTTTGTGCTTACAGAGGGGGCAGTGAATAGTTTGAATTATGGGATACTTTTTCAGAAATGCCATCTTTATTACTTTCAAATGGGTGCAGTAAATATGCTGGGCTAAGAAAACGTTGCCAGGATGTTTTGCCAAATATAGATCTTTTTGTGAATGTATCAGAATGATATGTAATTAACTTTTATTGTTTATACATCAGTGTGAGCTTTTAAAGTGCTTAAAAACAGTTTGTTGCCTTAAATGGTTTTGTGAGTACCTTCATTGCCAGACTTTTATTTACATGATGCCCTATAAGATGGTTAATTTTATGTGTCAACTTGACTAGGCTAGGGGATGGCCAGACGGCTGTGAAAACATTATTTCTGGGTGTATCTGTGAGGGTGTTTCTGGAAGAGATGAGCATTTGAATTGGTAGACTGAGTAAAGAAAATGGCCCTCACCAATGTGGGTGGGCATCATCTAACCTGTTAAAGGGCATCAATACAACAAAATGGCAGAGGAAGGGCAAGTTTACTCTATCTGTTTGAGCTGGGGCATCTGTCTTCTTCTGCTCTTGGACATCCGCATTCCTGGTTCTCAGGCTTTGGGACTTGGATTGAATTTCATCATTGACTTTCTTATTTCTCCATCTTGCAGGTGGCAGATAATGGAATTTTTCAGCCTCCATAACTGTTTGAGCTAGTTCCTACAATAAATCTCCCTTTATATATAATATATATCTATATCCTATTAGTCTGTTTCTCTGGAGAACTCCGACTCATTCATTCTATGTAAAATTTGTTGGTGCAAAGGTTAAAACTTACATTTTCTTATTATTAAAACTTCAAGATAAGTGATGTTTAGGATGTTTTGAATGATGATGAGTTGGGATTACAACATAGCCCTAGATACACACTTCTTTCAAGTAAGCATTCATTACTAAGCCTTGAAACCATGAAGTCTTTGCAGGCTTTGTCTTCACAGTCTTCACAGTTACCCCATTGTTTCAGAAGTTTTGCTTCCTCATTTTGTTCTAGCTTGAGGTACAAGTTGATGCTGAAAAATAAAAGAGATTCTTTGAGGTTCAAGCTCTTTGACTCAGTGAGCCACTGGCTGTCTCTCCTGCTCTTACCCTCTTACCCTTTGTCTTACATGTCCTAGTACCTAGTAGAACCTTAGACCCCTTCTTGTCTTACTGCCCCATTGGACCTGCCAACTCCAAGGCTCCTAAGTACAGTTCAGGAAATATCAGTTCCTATGGGGTAAAGCATCGCAGTTTAGGAAATGATAACTGATGGTCACTGACAACCAGGGTTCCCATCAAAGTCTTTAAATTCTTTATAAAGTCAGTAACTGTTGAATACCTGCCATGAATAAGCTATAGGGGTTGTACAAAGATGAATAAGATACAGCCACAGTCTCAGGAAAGTTGTTTGCAACTTGGTAGAGGAGGCTAATTTCATCATAATTGTATTTCTAATTTCTAGGAGAATGGATTTTTTTTTGTCCTCAGGCTTTAATATCCACAGCACTATGCAGAAAGTATCACCTTCTCAGCACTGGTGCGGTCACCTTTTTCATTATGCTTACACTATGCCAAGGGAGAAGATGACATCAACACATTATTACTTGGCTTAATTGCAGCTTCCATAAAACAAATAATATGCACAATTATGTGAAACCACAAAGCAGCCTAATGACATATTGAAAATCCCAGAACAAGTGAATAGGGAGAAAGAATATGGAATTTTTTTCAAAACAAAAATTAAACTGATTTTTTGGGGGTAGGTTGGGGTGGGTGAGGATTTTGGCCTAGGCCAGCATGAACTGATAGAACATGTGAAGGCAGAAAAAATAATGAACTAGGATCTTTCTACCATCCTCCATCAAGACGGAATCTTTGCTGACCTCTCTGTATTACTTCAATGCTTCTAATAGTGTTGGAAAGTAATAGCACAAAAGCTTGCTTTATCTGGTGATGGAGAAGCAAAGCCAGACCTGCTCTTTGTGTGGTGTGACCCAGGATACCTCAAGGCCAAGATGACTTCCAATAGTTCTTTCCCTTAACCCACCGCAACCAAAATTCCCACCATTAGAATTTTTATGTAGGTGCTTTCTAGAAATGTGTGCTCTGTGGATAGATCAAGACCTTATTATTTATTTAGAAGTCTAATGTCTTGGGTAATGTCTTAGTCTGTTTTCCACTGCTATAACAGAATACTTGAGAGTGGGTAATTTATAATAAACAGAAACTTATTGGTCAAGGTTCCAGAGGGTGGGAGGTCCAAGACCAAAAGCTGCATCTGGTGAGGGTCTTCTTGCTGTGTCATCCCGTGATGGAAGGGCAAAGAGAGGGCATGAAAACATGAAACGACTAAACTTGCTTTTATAACAAACTTACTCTTGCAATAAAGAACATATTCCTGCAGCAATGACATTAATCTATTAATGAGGTCAAAGCCCTCATGGTCTAATTACCTCTTAAAGGTCCAGTCTATCAATATTGTTGCATTGGAGACTGTTTCCAACACATGCTTTATTGGAACTTCCATATAGCAGAGCTTTGGTGATCTAGAGTCCATTAAGGATCACTTTGATCTAAGGGAGAGATATGAACTGGCAAAAAATAAGAAAGTGATGTGGTTTAATGAATGAAGTGTGGATGGCAGAAAAAGGAGAGAAAAACAAACTAGAGCTGCTCTAAAGACTCAGTGACTTTAGAAAAATATGTCAAAGGCTTTGACCATTGAGGGGTGGAAGGGGCCATAGTCTCTGCCTTCTCTCTTCTTTACCCTTTTCTGATCAATATGTATGGCTGATGTTACTTAGCATTAAATGGTAATATGTCTTTTCATGCTTGCTTGTGGGATGGGGGCTGATGGTTTTGCTATGAGTCAAACCAGGCACCAAGAGATACTTCACTGGGATGGGTTAAATCCATGGATTTAAGATATCATTGAAATGAGTACCAGATTACCTAGGTTCTTGGCCTAGCTCTGCTGGGAATTACTGTGTGGCCATAGGCAAGTTTGTTTTTCTTTCTAGAGACCCATTTTCTTTAACCACACCATGCCAGGAATGGTGGAGAGAGGGACCATATAGGATTAGCTGCCTCAATTCTAATGGAACTTTATATCCTACTTTATAAAAGCAGAAAATGCTGTGGTATCTGAGAACTGGATCTTATATTCACCAGTATCTCAGGAATAAAATTCAATTTCAGCAGGAGATGGTTCTGAACACTCACATGCTACTTGGGGGGAATCTAATGCACATAAAAGCTGAGTACAAGACTGCAAATCCCCTTCCAAGCCTTCTTCACCTGCTGAGTCATCTTCCAAAGTCTGGATATGTGGCTCTTGGGATATGTCCAGCCTTGCCTTGAGCTAGGCAGCAGGCATCCAGTCAGGGCAGAAGCTTGGATTTTAACATAACAACTGGAGGCAAGTTACAGAAGCAATATGATTTTCTAAATTATTGGAATTAGCTAGTCAAGCCTGGGAGTTAACAATCACTCAGAGGCTCACAAATCCTAATAACATCTGGCAAACTCCAACAGGGGCAGAAAGAAACACATACACATGCACATGCACACCCCCTCCCGCCCCCCACATACCCAACAACAAGCAAATAAACAAAAAACAAACCCAAGGCATTCACATCCTTTTTTAGTATGACATCCTTAAGGTCACCATGTCAAGGGATGGGAGGAAATTAAAAGGAAACTTCTCAGAGGACACTGCTTACAAGGACTCCTTTACTTATAGCTTGTTAATTTTCACAGTACAGTGGCCCTGGGTCGTGAATTAAAGAAACAGATGAAAAAAAATATTGCGCTTTAAACTATACTGGAGGCCCCTTGCATACTCCTGTGCCTTTTGATGAGAAACATTAAACATTTTTAATTTAGCACATCAATTTGAAAATCTAATTTTTTTTTAATGCTTTGTAGCAGCAGACGCGTTCACGGTGCTGTCACTACCATAGAAGAATTATGAGAAACTTGAACCGCAAAAAGTAAATTAGAAAAATCTCATTTCAGTTACTCTAAAAAGAGGGGAAATTAGATTTTGATTAAAATCACTCACACATACAATTTTAGGTAAACTAATTTAGCAAGACTGACTATATAATTTTTTTTCCTGCCAGTATGTCCTTTTAATACTGGCTGTGAGGTATTCGTACCCATAACCTTTCTTCCAACCAATGGATGAAAAAAAGAAACTCTAATAAAGTGGCCTCTTGACCACTGTGTCCAAGGCCTGGTAGGGAGAGATTAAAGTAGTGTATTTGTCAATATAATAGGCAGAAGCTGAGAATGAATTAAGACTCCTTGTACAAGTCTTTTTTAGCTGGCCCTTAGCTTTGCCTTTTCAACTATTTTTTTTTTTTAAGGTTTCAACTTGGAAAATTTTACTTTAAGGAATGATGTGTCAGCTAATGTAGGGGATTAATTGCATCATTAGTGCTGCATAATGTACAGTTCATGGCCAGAGGCCCCAGTCTGGGTGAGACAAATGCTGCCACCTTCAAGGTGGGATGGGAGCACAGCAACCGACAGTTCTCATTAATTAAAGGTAGACCCACGTCCTCTACAAGGGTGTTGCCAGTTGCAGTGAAACGATGCATAGAGATATGTTTTGTAAACCATAAAGTGTTACCCAAGACTGTAGTGTCAGTATTCTTGTGTCTGAGTTCAAATTACTGCCTTCCGGGGTCTGAGCTTGGTCCTCTGAAATCCCAGCATGGAATCTAGGTTTTAGTTATTAAGCATCTTGTACCAAACCTCATTTTGAAAATTGCATTGTTAATGAATTCAAAACTTTTAAATTAAGGCTGAAAGGCAAATAGTTAACTCTCTGTAAGAACAGGAATGGCTGGTGTATAGAGGATTGTGCCCATAACTGATCTCCCTCCCTACTGAGTAGAATCTTGGAGGAGCAGGTTTCCTTGGACTTGCCAGTGAGGTGTGATGAGACGTGCATGATGTAAAAAATATGGGAGTGACATGGTCAGTCTCTGTGTCCCCACTCAAATCTCATCTTGAATTGTAACCCCCATAACCCCCATGTGTCGAGGGTGGAACAGGTGGAGATAATTGAATCATGGGGGTGGGTGCCCCCATGCTGTTCTCATGATAGTGAGTTCTTTTTATATGGTTTTATAAGGGGATTCCCCATTGCTCGGCACGCATTCCATCCAGCCACCCTGTGAAAATGGTGTCTGCTTCTCCTTTGCCTTCTGCCATGACTATAAGTTTCCTGAGGCCTCCCCAGCAATGCAGATCTATGAGTCAATTAAACCTCTTTCCTTTATATTAATAAATTACCCAGTCTTGGGTATTTCTTCGTAGCAGTTTGAGAACAGATTAATACAAGGAGCCTTTGAAAAATGTAACATGTAATATATAGGTAAGACACTATTTAAAAAGAAATAAGGCTCGGCGTGGTAGCTCATACCTGTAATCCCAGCACTTTGGGAGACTGAGGTGGGCAGATCACGAGGTCAGGAGATCAAGACCATCGTGGCTAACATGGTGAAGCCCCATCTCTACTGAAAATATAAAAATTAGCTGGGCATGGTGTCATGCCTCAGCTACCTGGGAGACTGAGGCAGGAGAATCGCTTAAACTCGGGAGGCGGAGGTTGTAGTGAGCCGAGATCATGCCACTGCACTCCAGCCTGGCGATAGAGCAAGACTCCATCTCAGATAAATAAATAAATAAAAAGAAACACTATACAAATAACAATTCCATACGATCTGTAAGTAGCAGAACGACAAGGAGGGTTGAAAGAGAGCTGTTATTTACTAATCATTGTTGTCACCTGGCTATCCACTCTTCTCCAATCCTGGCATGGCACAGAAAGATAGATAACAAGGATAAGATTGAATCTGGAAATAGAAGAACAGGGGAAGAAAAGAAATTAGAAAATAATTAGAAATGAAAGAGTAAATTAGGCTAAAGAAGTCAGAAATTGAGAAAATAGAAGAAGAGAAAGATGCAGGAAAGAGGGAAAGGAAAAAAAAAGGAAGAATCAGAAAAACCGGGGAAAGGA